GGGGGGGGGGGGGGGCGGGGCGTGCATGTAAAAACCGATTGCGTGTGCTTGTGCCCGGCGAGCTGTCGACCAGGCCCCCGGCGGGCCGCTGCACGCGCGCCTGCGCTCCACCCCCCGTCGCGGCGCTCTGCCCTCGCTTCCTCGTCCGGCCGCCAGCCCAGCACTGAACCACCACCGCCCCACCCCCCAACCCCCACCCCCCAGGTCATCAAGACTGCCACCGTGCCGGCGTCGGCCTGCAAGCGCGCCAACACGCTGCAGTTCCACGACAGCAAGATCAAGTTCCCCCTCACCCACAACGCGCTGCGCCCCAGCAGCAAGGTCTTCAAGACCCTCTACAAGGCCAAGCGCCCCAACGTGGCCCTCTTCTGAGCGGGCGCAGCGGCGGCGGCGGCGGCTGTGGCGGAGGCCCGCTGGCGCGGCGGCTCGGCGGCGGCGGCGGGCGGCCCAAGGGCACGCGCGCTGTGACGCTTTGCCGACGTTGTGGGAGCGGGTGTGCGGGAGGCGTGCGCGTGGGTGGGTGTAACGCGCTGTCAGTCGAAACGCAGGGCCGCTCTGTGGATCTCAGCTGGGGTTGGCTGGAGCTGACAGACGGTGGACTGGTGGTTTGGTGCTGAGCAAAAAGCAGTGAAGTTGCGCAATGGTCGCAGAGCGCGCTGGGTGGGTGCGTGTGCCATCAGCTGTGAGGGCCGTCCCAGGCAGCGCGGCGGTGCCTCTTGCGCTGGCAGGGAGACTAGGTCTTAAACCCCAGGACTCACTTTCTCGTGTCTGCTATTGCTTTTTTATGGCATGGCTGGCGTCGACTACTAGCAGGGCACATAGGGAAAGGGGTTGCGAACAGCCTGTCAGCACGCTGACATGGTGTGAATCCCCTGTGAACTCTGCTTGCCAGTACCAGACACCTGGGTGGGGGGGGGCGCCAAAAGCACGGCTTGGCCACAATTGGGTACACCCAAGGGCGGCACTCACCACCCCGCCCTTGAGTACCACCGCACCCACCCCCGCCCTTGGCAAACCCAAGGGCGGAATGCACGCGGCTGGCACTCATCGCGCAAGGGCTGAGTGGCTGTGGCTGCATCGGCCCGGCCATGTGATCAGCCGCTGCAGGCTATCAAGAGACAAGCCCATCGACTCAATTACTGCTAGCTTTTCTGGGGCCGCGCGCCAGGTGCACGCATGCATGCCAAGTAAGAGCACACCTCACAAGAATATGAGCACATGCCTGTGCTGCAACATGTGTCTGCTCGACACAAACCCAATTGCATGTGCATGCGCACTCACTTGAAGGCACGCATTCGCAGTATGCAGTGCGGGTACGCGCCTTCAAATGCACGTGTCCGCCTTTGTGCTCTCATCTCAACAGATGATGCATGCACAAAAAGGAATGTCCGCCTCAGTGCATAGTGAGATACATATCCCAACCCGAAATCAAAGTGAAAGTCGCAACGAATCAGCAATGACGTCATCTTTTGTCATCAACGGTCATCAACGGGAGCCGTAATAGCTTACTGGGGTGAGGGATGACCACAGAGGGGCCAGGCCGACGCCCAAAATCAGCAGCAGCACGAAAATAGCCGGGACGAGCGGCCAGCGCGAGATCACACTCTCCGAGTCCCAGTCTTTGTACTGATGTTCCGCCGCCGCCGCGCCGCCGCCCGCCTCGATCGCCTCCGCCGCGGCTGCGGCACCGGCCGCGCCCCTGAACGCAGCCGCCGCGGTGGCCGCGCCTGCGCCACGGTGGCCGCGGCCGCCGGCGTTCTCGACATCTCCTGGCCCGCCCCTGGCCTGCGCACCCTCCCCAGCACCCTCGTCGTGTCCTCCTTCGTGCCACGCGGGGGCGACCCCGTCCACAAACGACTCGAGGAACAGGGTTATGTCACGCGGCGCAGCCTGCAGGGTGGAACGGAGGGCAAAGTCGCAGCGTTGCGTAATTGGCTTTGTGTGCGCTTATGGGGCTTCACAGCGCCCTCCTTTGCCCTGCTAAGCCAGGCCCTTGGACACGAGCATACCGCTGGATATGATGCAGCCTATTCACCAGGCCAACGCAACCCAGACGCCACGTTCATACAATTTTGGTGCAGCCTGCCGGTCACACCTTTTGAGAGCCAGGGCGGGCGGGCCGGACGACCGCGCGGCACATCGGGCACAGCACAACGCCGCCTTGATCGCACAATGTGCAGCGGCACCCGGAGTGGCTGTCCAGCAGCTGCTGCAGGCAGGTGGCGTGAAATTCATGGCCGCAGCGCGTTGTGCACAGCGCGTGGGGTGCGTCTGCACTGCGGTCCAACGGGTCCAGGCACAGGGGGCATGGGTTGCTGCTGGCTGCACGGTCCATATGAACCATCACAAGTGTTACTATAAGTTATGGCCGCCAGGTTCCGATGTCGCCCGTGTTTGCGCGATCCGACCCGCGCGCTAGCAATGACGATACACGACGAGATCCAAGCAGGCGGCACCTAATACTTGTAATTGATTTGAGCGGGTTCCTCACAAAAATCAGGTGTTGCGCGGGCTGACGGCGCCAAAGCAGCACCCAGCACGGTCATCGCCGCCTGAGCTCGCGCACAGCGTGCAGGTGGAAGCTAGGCAGGACCTCGCGTCATGCCGTCACCCCCTCCTCATCTGGCTCATGCGGCTGAACAGCCGCACGAAGACCACTGCAAGGCTCTGCGATTATGCAAGCAAGGTGCGATTGGCCGCTTTACGCTTCAGGCAGGGAAACCAGCGGGGTGCCACGGGCTGCTGCAGTGTGGCCATCACCAAGGGGGTCCGATCGTCCGATGCCATATTTGCCCCCTTACTTTGCACGCCACAAGTAAAAGGCTAGCTGGATGCAGAATCAGCGAGTCTGGTTCACGCGCATGTAGGACCATATAAACCAACAAAGGTCCTGACATCAACCAATCGGTTGATGTCGAGCCCGCTGCACAGTCTATTTCAGACCTTTGCAGATAGGAAAGATATGACAAGTTTGGTGCGGCGTGACTTTGGGATGTCAATTTGCTCGGTGAATTCAAGGAGGCAAGATGCTGTGAGGGAATGAGCCTCGTCAAAAATACCAAAACATGATGAGAGTAAGGCATGCATCGCATGTTTGAACAACCACAACGTGCTTGTACTGGCAGAAATGTGGCCCACGGCAAAGCAGATGCATTTGCAGATAAACACACAATACTTTGAAAGTCGTCTGCGCCGCCACTCTTCAGCCGGCGAACGTGCCAGGCCAGGCCATCCGGCACACGAAAAAGATTGACACCGGCAAAGTGAAAGCCAGCACCGAGCGGAGGACCCACCGCCTCCACCCCTCGGACCAGGGGCCGGCGTCTCGCGCCCCCGCGGCCGTGCCGGCCCTGCGAACGCTGCTGCCTGCCCCACCGGCCCCTAGATCCAGCCTGCTGAGACGACCGCCCCCGGCGCCTCCACCTTGCCGCAACCCGCTGCCGCCGGCATCCACAACCACCTCCAGGTGCGAGGACTCGCGGAGTGACGCCTGCGGGGCAGGCCGCACGGCAGGATGGGCCGCTGGAGCGGTGCAGGATACTGGGGGCTGGGACCTTTGACCATGCAGGTGTCCCCGCATCTCTCAGCGGGTGCTCACGCCTACTGTCGCCCCATCACGCATGGTGTGCCGGCAGCCCAAGAGTTGCTTGCTGCAATTGCGCACACCACCAAAATTGGCGACTCACCGCTTTGTCCAGGGCGTTGCAAGGAGGCCGGAGCGGCGCGCGGCACAGCGGGCACAGCACGCCGGCCCCCCAAGCGTGCTTGCCGCAGCAGCAGCCAGTGTGGCTTTCCAACAGCTGCTGCAGGCAGGTGGCATGAAACTCGTGGCGGCAGCGGGTCGTGCACAGAGGTGCGGCGCCCGCGTCGAGCGGCTCCAGGCACAGTGCGCAGGGGTTGCCACTGGGCGCGCGGCTTAGACGCTGTGTTATACTTTCCATAGGCACACGGGTCTCTGCAACTGCGATGTCACCCATATTCTAGCAACCGGACGGCGAGTTCGACGCACGTGTGTCTTTGACAGGATCGGTGGCGTTCCCGTAATTATTAGGTGATCGAAAATCAAGGGGTCTACTTATATCTGTTCAGCCTTTATGCGCAGGTAACGCCCACACTGATCACGGGCAGCTTCCTGTCGGGTGGCAGTGAAGGTGTCCAGCACCTGGCACCCTGCCGCTCTTTGGGCGCTCTGCGCTGCCCGATGCCTGGCTTACATTAGCACGCGTATCGTCCACGATGAGCTATGTTGGCGCCTCGCCTTTGCGCCCCGTGATTTTGTGATACGAGTCCCAGTGGAATGGGTACGGGCAGGGATACCCCACTCGCGTTGTGCACTGCGCTGCTTGCCGCACACCTGTTCCTTTGATCCCCGGTGAGGCGGTGATGGCCAACTACGACTCCAAGGTAGGCGAGGTGTACTTCTATGTTAGCTGGATGTTGAATATTTATCTTACATATGCAACTTCCTGGCACATGCTTTGGCCGCCACAAACCGCCGGGACTGGGATAAGTTCCCTGATGGGTGTGGGGACACGCTTCACCCATCTCCACATGTGTTTGGGCAGCGGCCAGCCGCTTGGCAGTACCCACTATGCCCGCGCAGCTTCACAACACAGGCGAATGTCCCCAGGCGCATGCACAGAGGGCATCTTGCTTGCGGTTGAGGCGTATGCTTACTTCACTGTATAAACACACTGTTCATCAATGAGACGAATCTGCATGGGTACCTTTATGAGGTGATTATGAAAATCCTGACCTCAACCCAAGGGGCTCAGATTTGGGGTCCTAGCATCAATGCATCCAGTTAGCCACCCACGTGCAGTTGAGGCTAACCAGCCAGTCACCTAGAGGCGGGACATCAAATCACGAGGCACCTCTCGTGCGCCCATGCCCTGTATGCACATGCATCTTGCACCTCCCATACACGCTATCTCGTATTCGCTTCCCAAAGCCCGTGCCAAGTTTAGGCGCCCCCGCTGACAGGCTCACATCACAACGGCTGGCTGATAAACAGCAGTTATCCAGGTACACCTAGCGTCGGGTGCCGCCACACGGCCAGCTGCCACCCCGCCTCGTCACATAACCAAATGCCATGTGGTGATGCCAATCAATCAGAATCCTGCCGGCCGCTGCTTGCCACCCCCTTTGAGTCAGCATGTGCAAGGGCGCGGCTGCATTCACCCGCCGCGCGCCGCCAGCGCCGCCTCAGCCCGCGCCATAAGCGCGTCGAGCGCCCCCGAGTTCGCGGCGTCGGCGGCCGCCTCCCCCGCCTGTGCGTCGAACCAGGCGCGCGTCTTTGTGACCTGGAGCCAGGCGCTCTTGCCCTTGCCGCCCGCCTCCGCAGTCGCGCTGTAGTTTGCGGCCCTGTTGGAGGGCGCAGCCGGCAGACGTAGGGGGTTGGGGTGTTTTTGGCGGTGCTTAGGTGGCGACAGCGGGGGGGGGGGACGTTGGGCAACGGCAAGGGTGTGCGTGTGTGTGTGTGTGCGAGTGTGAATGTATGTGATTTTTTGGAGGGGGGGCGTGGGGGGTTGCGGCCCGGCTGACGTGAAGAAGATGCGTCGTGCAGCAGCCTGGCAGCTGCTGGAGCGCCACCTCTGCGCAGCCCGCCCCCATGCGAATGCACCCACCCACACGCTCGACCAGAGCGTCTCAGCTGGGTCGCGCGCGCTCTCTCCCCCCACCCCCCTCCGCCGCCCCTGCGCCGCGCCGCACGGCCCTGGGCGCACCCCGGGACTTTGTCCTTGGGGCGTGTCGAGTTGAACAGCCGCTGTGCCATGGTGCGTGCGTGGACGACGCCAGACAGGAACTTGGTGAAGCGGACGGACTGCTCGGGGCCGCGCAGGAAGGCCTGGCAGACAGGCGTGATGCGGCAAGCAGGGCCGTGCAGGTGAGTGAAGAGTTATGCTCTGGCCGGGGCGGCCCATCGGGTGGTGTTGGGGAGCCGCGGCTGCGCGCGGGGGCCAACGGTTGGGGATGTGATTGGCGGGGTCCATGGGCTCGGGCGTTGGGCGGCGGCGCAAGTGCGCCCGAGGGCGTGATGGCGGTGTGCTTGAGTGGATGGGGTAGGTTCAGGTGCCGGGTCGTCGTGCATGTAGCCAGGGCCCGATGGGCATGCTGAGAGGCGTGACGTGCCTTGCCGGTGCTGCGCAGCAGCGGCGGGGGCTGTGGCAGCTTTGCAACCGGTCTTGTGTTCGGCCCATGCCCCGCCCTGTCTGCGGTGTCTGTTGAACGCAGGCACCTCCTTTTAGCGGTGCTGGCACTGGCCTCAGCCATCCGTCTGCAACAGAGCACACGAGAGCCGCCACACAAAACAGTCAATTTCAACCCTTGCCTAAATCCACCCACTTGGATGTCTGGGCAGTTGGGGACGACCGCGTCTGGCATCTCCCAGCTGAACGCCGGCCGCCCCTGCCCCTCCAGGTGCCCCCGCCGCGCCTCGCACAGCGCCGCCACCGCCGCCGCGGCCTCCGGGTCGCCCGCGGCGCCCGACAGGCTGGGCAGCGCGAGCAGGCGCTTGAGGAGCGCCTTCGCGTCCGGCCGCGCCACGGCCGCTGCCGCGAGGGCCGCCAGGTGGCGGCGGCAGGGCGGCAGCTGCGCCAGCATGTCAGCAACTGCAACCATGGCATCCTGAGACAGCGCGCCAGCGGCGGGCGCCAGGGCCGGGGGCGCGCCGGTGGCATTTGGCGCCTGGCTGGCGGCGGCGGCGGCAGGTGCGAGGACGGCGGCTGCGGCCGCGTCCGCGACCGCCTGCGCAAGCGGCGCGCGGCCGGCCGCGGCGGCGGCGAGCGCGAGCTGCGCGCAGGCGGGCGCCTGGGAGGCGGCCTGGGCGGCCGCGAGGGCGGCGAGGGCGGCGGAGGCGTCGGGCGGGCAGCCGACAGCCACGATGGCATTCAACAGGGCGGCGGCAACCCTGCATTTTTCATTTTGCGATTGCGGGGTGGATGTTGGAGATTGAATTGCCCAGCGTTGCTGCCTGCTGCTTCTTCGATGTGCTCCCTACACAACAGAACAGACCAGCGGGTGTATGATGATGACCCGCTGCTCAACACCCGCTTCTCAAAACTCTGCTTGATATCCACTGCGCCCCCACCCTGCATGCAGGGCCACCCCGCACCCCGAGCCGCCCGCTCACTTGGGAGTGAAGACCCCCTGGGTGCCCGCCAGCCCGCCCGCCGCCGCCGCCAGCGCCGCCCCCGCCGCCTCCCTCGGCCCCCGCGCCACCGCCGCCAGCGCCTTGCAGGCCGCGTCCTCCATGCCGCCCATCCCCATGAAGCGCCCCCGGCAGTACCACCGGCCGCCCTCGCCGGCGGAGACCTGCCCCAGCTCGTCCGCAACAAAATCGAGCGCCGCCGCAACGTCCGCCGCGCCCGCGTCCGCGCCGGCCGCGAGCCGGCGGCCGAGCAGGTGCTGCGCCGCCGGCAGGCCGCCCGACCGCAGCGCGTCGGCCGCCAGGGCGCGCGGCCACACGACCGCGACGGCGCGCCTGTAGTGGAAGTCGATCATGGAGGATCGGAGGGCGTGGCGGTTGTAGCCCGACGCGCTGACTAGCTCGGGGGCGTCGTCCGCGAAGAGGGGCCCTCCGGTGACGCGCTCGACCGCGAAGTGCACGTCTGGTGGTCGTGTGGGGTCATACATGCAAGGGGGAAGGGAGGTAGGGTGGTGGAGGGGTTTGGGAGGGGCGTAGCCTCTGGCAATGTGCATGAGCGATCGGGGGCGGCAAGGGCGGCGCGGAGCTGTGTACTTCTGACCCCTGTGCGCACAGACAGAGGGCGTTTTGCACTGGCGCAGGAGCGAGGCGCCCCAGCTGGCGGCCCAAGAGCAATAACGCCCACGACAGCGCAGCCCATGCTGGTCTTCTTCACACTCTGACGCCAAAGCCAACCGCCCGCCGAGCCCCTCCCTCCCCCAACACCGCTTCATCTCTGGGCGCGCACCGCCGGCGGCGGCGCCAGCTTCGTGCCATCGGGCGCCAGCCAGAACGCGCACTTGCACTCGGAATCCAGGAAGCTACCAACCGCCGCCCCCAGGTCCTCCGGCCGCCCCGAGTCGCCCCCGAGGTCGTCGTAGCTGTAGCGGCGGCGGACGCGGTCGTGCGCGCCCTGATCGTCATCGAAGGCCGCGGCCTTGAGGCGCTGGGCGTCTGCGCCGGTGCGGTGGAAGGGGCGGCAGTCCATCACGTCCCGCTCGTCGTAAAACGACTCCTGTGTGTGATATTTGGGGGGGGAACGCAAGGGTTCGGGAGGCAGGCGGGGTGGTGGTGATCAAGGGAAGCCAGGTGGAAGGAGGCGGTGTGCTGCTGGTGCAAGCCATCTGGGTTTTGTACCGGCTCCGGACCCAAAAGCCCGTGCCCTGCAGCCCACTGCAGGCATGCAAGCATGCAAGCATGCATGCGTGGGCGTACTGCATCCTTGATCATAACCACCCATGCAGTCTGCGAATCCTGCTCCGCATGCGCACCACCCATGCACTCAGGCGGCCCACGCATGGTCATGCATGCAGGGGCCAGGCACGCACGTGACATGCATGCACGCAGGGCGGCCCATTTCACACCCATGTGTGCAAGGCCCCAGGCCCTGCAGGGGCAACGCTACCATGTGCACGCACAGCTCCCACACCCCCTTGACGAATCAGCGCAAGTCAAAGCGCGTGCATGCTGAATGGGCCAAAAGCGCGACGCTCCCATGCAATGCGATGACTCACCATCAGGTTGACAACCGCCAGGTGCACGTCGAGCGCGGCCCCGCCCGCGCCGCGCAGGGCCGCCACCAAGGTCTTGTCGCCACCCTTGAGGGACGCGTAAGACAGCGTGTGATCAGAGTACTTGTCGTCCAGCGGGACGCACAGCGCGCTCGGCACAGCGCCGGCC